CATTCCTAAGGACTCCTGTATCCCCCGCTTGTCCCCGACTCGCTGTAGTAGCAGGTTTTATCCAGAATCACCAGCTCGTTCCCACTCGGACCTCTGTAGACTGCCCTGACACAGGATCCCCACTACCGTGGTGTCCGACAAATCTGGAAAATCTACAAAACCAAAAACCGTTTCTTCAGATTAATATCGGAGCTAACATCTCTGGACCCCAACACTTCAGAAGTGACAACGCAATTTTGGTTTTGATTAATTTTAGGGGATATTTAATAACATGAAGATTCCAAATCTGAAGAAAAAAAAAAATCCTGTTTCAGAATGCCAGTACCGGTAATTAAACAGAGCACTGCTTACCATAAGTTGATTGGGTCCCTTTGTACAAGTATTTGTAGTGGTCATCTGTTCTTGGTATATTCTTTTCTTTCAGGCTGCAAGCAATGTGGATTTGCTCCTAGGAAAACAAATGGTTAAGAATGATAACTCAAAGCTAAATGAAAGTTTTAAATCCTCACCTTGGCTAACATGAAATTTAGATATCACACAGTTTGGAAGTTGTTTAGATGTTACAAGAGAAAAAGGAAAGAATAAATTAAAAAAAAATAACTTTCAATTTATACACAGAATATAAATATTGTATTTTTAGTGCTTTACTTAGAATGTACAAAACACTGAACTGGTTATAAGGTCTTTTAGGAATTTTTGTTTTCAAAGCTTTTTCAAACGTTCAGGTTCTTTTTATTTTAAAACATTTCAGTAGTTGAAGTTTTATATTACCGGTAGTGACTTTGATCCCCACAATGTACAGTACACTTTTAATATTTTAGGGTGTTTTAGTATACTGTAAAATCATATATTTTCGTGGGGTCAAATTTTCGTGGTTTCAGGAAAATATCTTGGTTCATGGGGATTTGATTTCGTGGATCAAGAAATAATGAGTGCTTACGTATGTGCCATTTTATATTTCGTGGTGGTCATGAATTCGTGGGTCTCGTCATACCTCAAAAACAATGAAAATTAACCCCCACAAAAATTTGTGATTTCATAGTATAAGGTCTTTTAGTTATCCTTTATTTTTTACACACATACATGCTCAAGTGTATTTTAATATTAAGCACATTAGAGTGTCTTATAATTATAATGTGCCATAGAAATTATTGCATTGCATTGTATACATATTGTAGATTTATAAAGGATATTCTCTTATAAATTCCTATCAGAAATATCTACAGTAAACTGACCTCCTGGACTGCCTGTTTGTCTGTCTGTTCCTCCAAGCCTCGTTTTGATACTGGTAGAGATAGCTGATGTTTTTGTGCCAGATCTTCCAGGATCTCCATGGGAACGGGAGCTCCATAGTGACCAGACAACAAATCATGGTACTCTGAGTCTAAATTTAAAAAAAAAATGATGAGCTTCAAGGTTTTTTATATATCTACATGTATTATTGACATGTTGATTCCCTGAAAAAATATGATTATCTTTTCCAGACCTGTTTACCCATATAGTTGTCTTTCAGTATTTTTGATTAGATTTGTCAGTGAGATTGTTTGCATTTGCCAATAGCATTTCACTTCCCATCAATTTAACATATATTAAAAGATAACAACTGCTTTTCTGATTACAAAAACATGGTTTAACATCATGGTCTTTGTCATTGTATAATACCACAGCATTTTGGCAACCCAACATCATTTATATGTTTAATTCTTTCTCTTGTTTAGTGATTAAGAAGCATTTAACTATTAAAGACAGATCATAAAGAAAAGTAACTGATAAATTCCAATCAAACATATTTCCGATTTCCGTATTTTCATGATAGTAAAACGTGAGACATATTTTAAACTCAAAATCCGTACAAAATACGGCGAAATTGTTAGAGTAAAAAGGTCTGCTTTTCACTCTGTTATTCAGAATATTTATGAAAACCACAAAATAATCAATTTGAATTGCCATTGATATGTCCGGAGGTCTTCCTTTTCCTGAGGAATTTGTTGAAGGCCCTGACTCCCTGCTCCTGTGTTTTATAATAATGCCCCTCTGATTCATTGATCACGTCTTTTACCTGCTCAGACAGAAGAAAGATCAAATCAATATGTTTACCTGTATGTACTGAACTGTTTTTATAGAGAATTGACAGACATTTTATTTACCCTTTTACAACTGGCATTCAGCTCTGGGTGGGCAGCCCCCTACAGTGTACAGAGTCAATGTAAACATTAGAGTAACAATAATGTTCAATTGTTAGAGTACCAGAGTTATTCTGGCAGAGTAATAACATTCTATGAATGTTTACTGAAGGACAGTTACTTCACAGTGTATGTACAGTGTTGGTGCAATACTGTACATACACTATTTAAATATTGAATTAAATTTAAATGTGTTCAATTTAAAGTACATATTAGAGTCAAACAAGAATGGTACCTATATGGTACATACTGAGCAGATAGAATGGTACAGAATGGTATAACATACTGACCAGCTAGAATGGTATAGAATGGTATAACATACTGACCAGGCTGTCCACTATGATGTCCACTAGGCTGGAGATGTAGCCGGGCCTGATGTCTAGAACTTTGGCTGACTGAAGACATCGGTACAGAACAGACCTCACTTTGTGTCTAACAGAAAAAAAAAATTTACAGTACAGTCCTGACATCATCTATGCCAGAAAACAAAATATACAGAACAGACCTTAGTTTGTGTCTGCCAGAAGAAAACAAAATAGGCCTATACAGTACAGTCCTCAGCTTTTTTCTACCAGGGAAAAAATCATGTAATACAGACCTCTACATGGTAGTCTCTACCAAAAAACAAATCACACAATGTTGATCTCACTTAATCCAGCAGGATTCACCCTTACCCATGTGTGCCTAATTCATCTGGCAGGATTTATCCTTACTCATGTGTATCTAATTTATCTGGCAGGATTCATCCTTACCTATATGTGTCTACAGATAATTTATCTGGCAGGATTCATCCTTAGCCATGTTTGTCTAATTTATCTGGCAGGATTTATCCTTACTCATGTGTGTCTAATTTATCTGGCAGGATTAATCCTTACTCATGTGTGTCTAATTTATCTGGCGAGATTCTTTCTTACTCATGTGTGTCTAATTAATTTGGCAGGATTCATCCTTACCTATATGTGTCTACTGATAATTTATCTAGCAGGATTCATCCTTACCCTTGTGTGTCTAATATATATGGCAGGATTTATCTTTACTCATGTGTGTCTAATTTATCTGGCAGGATTCACCCTTACTCATGTGTGTCTAATTTATCTGGCAGGATTTATCCTTACCCTTGTGTGTCTAATTTATCTGGCAGGATTCATCCTTACCCATGTGTGTCTAATTTATCTGGCAGGATTCATCCTTGCCCTTGTGTGTCTAATTTATCTGGCAGGATTTATCCTTACTCATGTGTGTCTTATTTATCTGGCAGGACTCACCCTTACTCATGCGTGTCTAATTTACCTGGCAGGATTCACCCTTGCTGTGAGGGTCCTGTGAGGGTCTGCTGTATCTAGCAGTATTTCCCCAACCTTTCTTGGTCTACATTATCTGGCAGGACATTCCATTATCATTCATCTTTTACCCTTGAGGGTCTACTTTAGCTGAGAGAATTTCCATCTACCCACAAGGGTCTGTTTTTTCTGATAGAAGTTCCCCTTACCCATGTTGGTCTGCTTTATCTGAAAGAATTTCCCTTTACCCATGAGGGTCTGTTTTATGTGAAGGATTTCCCCTTACCCATGTTGGTCTGCTTTATCTGAAAGAATTTCCCTTTACCCATGAGGGTCTGTTTTATGTGAAGGATTTCCCCTTACCCATGTTGGTCTGCTTTATCTGAAAGAATTTCCCTTTATCCATGAGGGTCTGTTTTATGTGAAGGATTTCCCCTTACCTATGAGGGTCTGTTTTATGTGAAGGATTTCCCCTTACTCATGAGGATCTGTTTTATGTGAAGAATTTCCCCTTACCTATGAGGATCTGTTTTATGTGAAGGATTTCCCCTTACCCATGAAGGTCTGCTTTATCTGATAGAAGTTCCCCTTACCCATGAGGGTCTGCTTCATCTGATACAAGTTCCCCTTACCCATGAGGGTCAGCTTTATCTGACATTTCCCTTACCCATCTGGATATATTTTATCTGTTAGAATTTCCCCTTACCCATGAGGGTCTGTTTTATCTGATAGAATTTCCCCTTACCCATTATCTATGCCAGAAAACAAAATATACAGAACAGACCTTAGTTTGTGTCTGCCAGAAGAAAACAAAATAGGCCTATACAGTACAGTCCTCAGCTTTTTTCTACCAGGGAAAAAATCATGTAATACAGACCTCTACATGGTAGTCTCTACCAAAAAACAAATCACACAATGTTGATCTCACTTAATCCAGCAGGATTAATCCTTACCCATGTATGCCTAATTCATCTGGCAGGATTTATCCTTACTCATGTGTATCTAATTTATCTGGCAGGATTCATCCTTACCTATATGTGTCTACTGATAATTTATCTAGCAGGATTCATCCTTAGCCATGTTTGTCTAATTTAACTGACAGGATTTATCCTTACTCATGTTTGTCTAATTTATCTGGCAGGATTAATCCTTACTCATGTGTGTCTAATTTATCTGGCGAGATTCTTTCCTACTCATGTGTGTCTAATTACTGTAGAAGTACTTTTTTCCGTGTGGTATTAATTTACGCTATGTACGCGGTCATAAATTTTCCGCAGAAATTTGTCCAAGCGTACTAAATGTAAATGCAAGGCATATAGTGATAGTGTAAGAAATCCGCGTAATTTTCTACCCGCGGATTAAATAGAAATTGAGATTCCGCGGAATTATGACCCCGTGGAAAAAAATACGTCTACAGTAATCTGGCAGGATTCATCCTTACCCATGTGTGTCTAATTTATCTGGCAGGATTCATCCTTACTCATGTGTGTCTAATTTATCTGGCAGGATTTATCCTTACCCTTGTGTGTCTAATTTATCTGGCAGGATTCATCCTTACCCATGTGTGTCTAATTTATCTGGCAGGATTCATCATTACCCATGTGTGTCTAATTTATCTGGCAGGATTCATCCTTGCCCTTGTGTGTCTGATTTATCTGGCAGGATTTATCCTTACTCATGTGTGTCTTATTTATCTGGCAGGACTCACCCTTACTCATGCGTGTCTAATTTACCTGGCAGGATTCACCCTTGCCTGTGAGGGTCTGCTGTATCTAGCAGTATTTCCCCAACCTTTCTTGGTCTACATTATCTGGCAGGACATTCCATTATCATTCATCTTTTACCCTTGAGGGTCTACTTTAGCTGAGAGAATTTCCATCTACCCACAAGGGTCTGTTTTTTCTGATAGAAGTTCCCCTTACCCATGTTGGTCTGCTTTATCTGAAAGAATTTCCCCTTATCCATGAGGGTCTGTTTTATGTGAAGGATTTCCCCTTACCCTTGTTGGTCTGCTTTATCTGAAGGAATTTCCCCTTAACCATGAGGGTCTGTTTTATGTGAAGGATTTTCCCTTACCCATGTTGGTCTGCTTTATCTGAAAGAATTTCCCCTTAACCATGAGGGTCTGTTTTATGTGAAGGATTTCCCCTTACCCTTGTTGGTCTACTTTATCTGAAAGAATTTCCCCTTAACCATGAGGGTCTGTTTTATGTGAAGAATTTCCCCTTACCTATGAGGGTCTGTTTTATGTGAAGGATTTCCCCTTACCCATGAGGGTCTGTTTTATCCGATAGAAGTTCCCCTTACCCATGAGGGTCTGCTTTATCTGGCAGAATTTCCTCTTACCCATCTGGATATATTTTATCTGATAGAAGTTCCCCTTACCCATGAGTCTCTGCTTCATCTGACAGTATTTCCCCTTACCCATGAGTCTCTGCTTTATCTGACAATATTTCCCCTTACCCATCTGGATATGTTTTATCTGAAAGAAGTTCCCCTTACCCATGTGGATTTGCTTTATCTGGCAGAATTTCCCCTTACCCATGATGCTCTGCTTTATCTGACAGAATTTCCCCTTACCCATGGGGGTCTGCTTTATCTGACATATTTTCCCTTTACCCATGGGGGTCTGCTTTATCTGACATATTTTCCCCTTACCCATGGGGGTCTGCTTTATCTGACATATTTTCCCCTTACCCATGGGGGTCTGCTTTATCTGACATATTTTCCCCTTACCCATGGGGGTCTGCTTTATCTGACATATTTTCCCCTTACCCATGGGGGTCTGCTTTATCTGACATATTTTCCCCTTACCCATGGGGGTCTGCTTTATCTGACATATTTTCCCCTTACCCATGGGGGTCTGCTTTATCTGACATATTTTCCCCTTACCCATGAGGGTCTGCTTTATCCGGCAGGATTCCTTCGGACAGACACACTGTTAGCATACGCATGTGATCGACTACAATCCTGTAGGCTGTGTCCTTTCCCAGGGGATCCTGGGAGCCAATCCTTCCTTCATATGACGGTACACCACAGTCCTACAAAGGAAATTTTCTCAACTTCAGGAACCATACAGCTCATACAAATTTTAAAGCTTAAAATGTAAATTATGAGTAAATTTGTGAACTTAATTTGTTCAAACTAAAGACACTGTTACAACTTTTTCCCAAGTTTTCCATTGTATATATATTTTTTCAAAAAGTGACCTTGATTTTGCTAAAATGACCTTGGTTCAAGAAAATAACACACTTCTAGTCAAAGTAACTTTTTGTGTGAATTATAAACTTCTCCACATTAAACTTATAGACTGAACATAAACACTTCCCAGTGAATTGACCTTGAATAATTGTTATGATTTACCCACAGCTAATGAGTATTTGTTTGTATGAAGTACTGTAAATTCCTAAATATACGCGTGGAATTAATTATCGCATGATTTCGCAAGAAGCACCACTCGCGAAATAAAATTACTCGTTTTTATTTTTATGGTGCTACAAACAATGTAAATTCCCTTGATGAACTGCCCATTCGCGAATTATTATTCTCGCGATTTGACGTTGAAGAGGCCTCCAAAAAAGCAAAAACCCCCCTTATAAAAAGTACTCGCGAAAAATTTGAGCCGTTCGCAAAAACCCCCCTTATGTCAAAAATTTTCGAAAATGACTTTTTTCTTGAAAAATGATGTAGAACCTTAGGTGAAAATAACCTGTAAATATTACAGGTGTATCTCGCTCCGTTACGGATTTACAGGTATTCAAAGTGTGCATCATTTATACGGCCGACGTCATATTTTATAAATTTTCTTTTGTAGCGACGTCGACGTTATAGCGACGTAATAAAAATATGAATTACGTATACGCAATAACTTCGCATTGTATTGCCGTTCTGCTTAATATATATAAGCTTAATTTGTTGTAAACATTTTTTTCTTTTTTATGAAAAATCTCAGTTCTTTTCTGATATTAATTAAAAATATGCCAATGGAGTTCAAATAGTCCTATAATTCGCTGCTGACTTAGAGAAAACATCACAAATAATTGATAGGTCTTTTATTAAGTAAAATTCACTTTCAATTTTACCGCTTAAGTTCAGCCCAAATCTTTCAAAACCAGCAACAACAAAAAATATTTTAGTTCCCATCAATTTATTTTTGATAATTGATTTTACTTGTCCAACCTTTGCCTTCAAAACAATGACCAAGAGACAGCATTAAGGGACAGGGGCTTGCTCTTTTGTTAATGAACACGACATATGGAATTTGTAATGTATGATATATCAATGTAAATGATGATTACCAATTATCCTTTTTTTCTAAATGCTCAATTACATATGCATTTTCTTTGCTTAATTATGTCCTCATTTGTTAAAAAATATCAGAAGGAAAGGGGGGGGGGGCGGCTGCAATGAAAGAATAAATATATAAGCACTAGTATGACGGCAATTTAGACTATAGATATATACATGTTAAATCTGTAATTTATGAATAGTTAAAGTGTACTTTTCAGATTATGAAATAACTAATAAAAACATGGCCCGAAAAACTGAGAAAATGAGCAAAGCTTTTGATTCAGCTTTTAAAAAAAAATTGTATATTTTCTACAGTACAATCACGTACATGTAATTAATATATAGAAGATTGCCAAACATACAGCCCCATATATATCTAACAACAAAATTATGAGAGTCGATCCTCTTGTGCTATACGCATAGATCTATGAAAGTGAAAGTTAGACATACTTTCTCAATATTTACGTCAGTTATACGATCCGTATGAGATTTTAAAAACATACATGTCACAGTTTTGTTTTTTTTTTTTTTGTTTGTTTTTTTTTTTTTTAAAAACAACAGGTTGTTATGAGGCAAGTTTCACAGGTCAACACTTATAACATATCATGAAGGTCCTCTGAAAATGTACCAGTTAGTCAAAAGCTAAAAGAAATATTTTAGAGACTAAGAAAAATGTGTAAGTCAGGGGCCTATTCAGAGCAGCTTTTTAAGTCCTCGACACAAATGTACAATATTTGATTACCGTCTTCATACAAAAAAAAACACATAAAGAAATTGTATAGAAAAGAGAACATGTTTTACGTGCGAAATCTGCACATTGGACTGTCTTTCGAATAAAATGCTTCTCATATATATATTAGTAAAATATATTCTATCCCAGTCTACCCAACATTTTACACACATACAAAGAAGTTCCATTGTGTGCAGAAGGGGGAGGAATGCTGGCCATTCTCTGTCACTTCACTAACATCAAATATTCGAACATCTGACCATCCGTACCAACTTACAAAGAGTCCACGTGTTCTGAAAGCGGGGGGAGGAGTTGTAGATTACTTTTGTGTTAGTCTTCTAGTTAAATTTACATGGAGACCGGTCCTTCGGATGAGTCTGTATAAACCGCGGTCCCGTGTCGCAGTTAGTGCTGGCACGAAAAAGATCCCTCACTGCTCAAAGGACCTGAGTGCCGGTTATAAGACAATATTTGCAGCTCTCCATCGGCAAGTGGTGACGTCTCCATATTTATGAGTTTAAAATTCTCGAGATGGACGTTTAACAACATACAAACAATCAATATATTTAAATTTAAACATTGAAGTTTCACAAGTTACCTAGAACCTTTGTTTATATAAGATATTTCCGAAGTTATCTAGAAACCTTTTTTATACAAGATATATCCGACTTTTGTGTTTGACATCTGTAGCGGACAGTATATAGGGAACTTACACTGCCACACTACTGAGCTAGTTTTTCTAGTGATGCGGTAGAGCCTCTCTATTTCAGTCAAGTTAAGCAACGGCGAGCCTGTTTAACCATTGGATGGGTGACCGCTCAAAAACATGGAAAGCCATGGAAATGAATGAGTCATAGGCCTATCTAAATGACGTGCAAAAATTTAGGAGCTTTTCAGACAAACATAATTATTATGTACATTTTGTGTTGTCAACATCATTCAATTAATGATTTGTTTGTATCTTTCATTTAGCACTTTAAACTGAAATTCTACATGTATCATTGCAAACGTAATTTGAACAGCAAATTAAAATTGCATCTTTTATACAACCATTTCCATCATTCTATTGTCTCCTGATAGGATTTCAATATATTGATAAAATAAACTTCACTATTAATTCTCATTTTATTTTTTCCACATTTGCATCTACAATGTGAAAGAGTTGCACTAAAATGATAACGTTTAAATATTTTCCCATGAGCATGCGTTTAAAAAACATGCCAGATGGTTTTTCAAACTATTCGACAAAAGTGTTAAAAATGATAAATACTCTTAGTTTTCTGATTTTCCAAGATCTAGCAATGTGGAAAAATAATCAGGTTATGTTCACCTGCATGTGATCTACCTGGTGAAATTACGAACATTTACTTCTTGCCACGTTAGACGAAACGTAGATCGGGAAAATCCAAACTGATTAAAATATTTTGGAAATGTATTTTTTTTTCACTCTATTTACAATCAGGTGAACAAATAATGTGCTTACAATCATGCACATAAAAAACAAATCTGGGGGGCTGCATGGGGGCCCCTCTCCGCATTTTTTCTGAAAGTAAATTTTCACTGTTAACATCAGCATCCAGTGATGCCGGAGAGGGGGGGGGGGGGGGGGGGGTTAGAATAACTTGACTAGCAATTAGATGAATAATGTAGGTGTGGATGCGTGTCAAATACGGTATTTTTCAGAACTTCCACAAATTTGTAAAAAGATACATGTATGTACATGTATTTATTTCTATATATGCTTTATTACATTATATTCTTATAATTTTTTGGTGGTGGTGTTGGGAAGGGGGGGGGTGTTACAACGGTATTAACAAGTTATCAGTCTGTTCAACACAAAACAAAAAAGGAGAATGTCGGATATACGTCTTTTCAATTAATGTAGCTTTGTTAGCAAGGAAGATATAATAAAACTTTGAGAAATAACAGAACATGTAGTCTCTGTCAATTAGGTAACATAGAAGATGAATTCCATTTTGTGTTAAAATGTCCACATTACAACACATTAAGACAAAAATACATTAAATCCTACTACTCCCAAAGACCAAGCGTCTTCAAATTGGTACAGCTACTCAGTACACAGAATATAAAAGAATTATGTAATTTAGGAAAATTTTTGCAATTAGCGAATGCCTCAAGAACGGCATCTTTATCAATTTTATAGATTATCAGAAAAATTATATGCTTTGCACATGTACGTTGTATGTTTATTCCATTATTGCACGTGTTAATATGTATGTTTATTTCATTATTACATGTGTTATGTCTATGAGATGTTTGTCTCTCGACTTCAATAAAACTGAACTGAAGAACTAATTGTCACCCCGAATTTAGATCTGGCATTGGTGTGGTTTAACAATTCTGTCATTCAGTTTTGATTGGTGTTAATTCCCGTGCAGTTTTCTTGACATGTGATTAAGTCCAAACAATTTTCGCCAAGACTTCGGATTAAAAAAAAAAAAAAAACATATTTCAAACTACTCTTCCTTCCGTTTTAAAAATATTTTTACACTCAATATCATCATTGCATGTAATTATTTTTTGTCGTTGTTGAATAAGAAAGAGTCGTAAATCTGAATTTTAAACAACAGTTCCATGTTTTATTTAGTTTAACTGAAAACTTATATTGTACATGGAACAGAATAATTGTCGAAGTGTTGACAAGTGTTATGTATTTAATCAGAACACTCTTAGGTCATTTTAATGTTTAATGCACATGTAGTTTGACAACAATCAGAGTAAGATATGTTATGAAATAGACAATAGTCATGAAAGAAATTATGCAGAAAGCACAACGGAGAAAATTCTGTGACGTAAAACAAAGCATATAGTTGGAACGCAGTCAGTGCGCGATATATTTTGATCGCAGTTTTTGTTGCAAAACAATGACGTCGCTTTTTCTATTGTGACGTAAAATTTTGTCAGATTTCATAAGGGGGGTTTTTGCTTGGAACGGCTCATTTATCCATGAGTAAGTTATTATACTGGACTCATATTTTGTACTTTTATGCCAGTGTCCTGAAACTTGACATAATGATACTGATGATAATTACTTTGTGGATGGCATCAAAGACTGGCCTGAAGAGATCGGTGTCATAGTTAGAGGTGGAGCCCTGCAGGACCGCTGTGATTCTCTCCAGCCCCATCCCAGTATCTACGTGATTCTTTAGGAGTGGAACCAATGTCTGGTCTCCTTGTCTGAAAAAAAATCAGTCACCACTTAAAACATTGAAATACTAATATTGTTTTTCCATTGACTATGTTACAATTTCAAAGTGTCAAAAGTGTGGCAAAGTGCTACCTTTTTATTCCTTTGTGAAGATAGTAAAAAAAAAAAAAACTCCCTGTTATAAGAAAATAAACCATCTGGACATAAATTCTTTCTTTTCTTCTGATGAATTCATAGGACAAATTTTATATAAGATCTAATGACTAAAACCAAAACTATAAACTTACTAGTACTTTAAATTCTTTTAAGATGTTAAAATAATAATCAGGTAAAAATTCCAAGCATAAAAATCTTTCTAAAAAAAGATTAAAACCATTTTCAAATTAACATAGAAAAAAAGGTATTTGCAAAATTACATATTGATTTCAATTGTATTAAGTTCATTTGTAAAATGGGGCCCTGGTCTTTACTCTAGACACGTGATTTTAATTCAATTTTTCCCACACACCTGGTCTTTCTTTACCTGTTGAACTGCATAAAAACAAGATTCCAGATCTCCACCACCTCTGGCGAGCCAGTGTTGACTAGATGTGGTACACGGCGGTATCCTGGGTGGTGGTCAAAGTGGATCTCAGTACAGGGCCCACAGGGACCAGTCTGTCCCATGTCCCAGAAATTGTCCCTCATCCCAAAGGGCAAAACATGGCTCTTATCAACTCTAGGATGTATAAATAGGTTACAAGACTACTGAAATCAAATTTGTTAATTTACAATCCATACACTAGAACAACTTTAAAAACACATAAACACACATTTTTATGAGTACAATCTTCAGAATCATTCTTTTCCATCAATGTTTACACCATATATGAAAAATATTTTTTTATTGTTGCAATTTCCAATGTAATTTGGATATAATTAAGATTTCCATATAGAAATATTTCATAAATCATAATGTACTATATAAAAAAAACTACAATTACAAATACATGTATATGTACAGTGTACCAAACTGTCTCTAATCTTACCCTAAACTTAGCCATATGTCTCTTGTTTCTAAATCCTCCTGTAACTGCATGGAGTCATCCCCCTTGAAGTATGTGAAATAAAGTGAAGTCAGAGGAATTTTATAGACATCCCTTAACAGTTCCAGGGCTAAGGCACAGGCATCTCTCTAGAATAAAATAAAGTGATGAAACAAAGGAAACTCTTTCACTGATAACATGAACAAAAATAAATGTTATTAAACACAGGTAATTAACACTGGTTTACCTTGAAGTAATCTCCAAAAGACCAGCTACCGAGCATTTCAAAAAAAGTGTGATGAGTAAGGTCAAGGCCAACATCCTCAAGGTCATTGTGCTTGCCTCCCACACGGACACACTTCTGACTGTTGGCCACTCTCCTGTATGAGGCCATGGGACTACCCTCCTCCACGTCATTCAGAAATATTGGTTTGAACTGAAATAAAATTCACATCTTGTATGGTGTGGTACTTCCATTTTGTAGAACTTATACTCATTTCTTTTCCATTGTTATTAAGTCTTTTCACTATTTATGGTACAAAACTCTAAAATAGAATTTAAAAACTGAAAAATAAAAGTTGTTCAAGAATTCTACTACCATCTAAGATGTTAGTCTTAGTCACAAGTTCTCTTGTAAGATGGGCCCCAAAAGTATATCTATGTATTGCACAGATAGCTAGTATCTAGGTGAGCTAGATTCTATTCATTGAGAGAGCAAGTCAAGAATAATGTTGTAAATCTAAAAAAAACAGGAAAATTCTGATTTGATAAAAAAAAAAAAAATGTTTGAAATAACCATGTGCCCAAGAGCCCAAGATACACAATTTGACTGCCAATCATAATTTAAATGTATTGTAGCACTACTGGGTCTGTTATTATAATTAAATGTTCACTTTGCCATAGCCGAAATGTCAACATTGGGCAAAGATGTCAATGAGGTGAGGTGTCATTGGGCCGAGGTGCCTGACATTTAACAAATGTAGGGTAGTCACAGAGTTATGAGTTTAGACAATGTTTGGTTATACCTGATTCATCCCCGCATTGATGAAGTAGGACCCCTCCCCTTTCTTGGCAATGATGGAGGAGGATGGAACAAACTGATGATCATGTCGCCCACAGAAAAAATCTAAGAAAGCCGCACGCACAGAGTTAGAGGACCAACTCACGGAGCTTCTATTTCTACTAAATGACTGGTTCAAAAGTTTTCGACAGTCCCTGCATATCCTATGATGTCCTGGTATTCTGAACATTGTTAGTGATGTTAATCACACTGACAGATCTTTCCTACTTGACATAAAACTCATTGGCCAGCTGGTTGATGAATCCCTTGAATCTATATTTAATTTCTCTAATCAAACGGACTGTGGACTTTTTTTCTGTCACAACAGTTTGCAAAAATGGGTACACAGCATATTGAAATAATTACAGAGGAAATTCGAAATGATTTACCTTCTGTTGAGATTTCGAACCCGATGTTCAAAATCTCGGTAGATCCGGAGACAACCGAGTGTTCCCGGTGCTAAAAATAACTGTTAAATGTTTTAGCAGTAGACTATTTAAGTTTACCATGTGCAATCAGTACAAGTCGTCGTGGCCGAGTGGTTAAGGCGATGGACTAGAAATCCATTGGGGTCTCCCCGCGTAGGTTCGAATCCTACCGGCGACGCACTTTTTTCCCCCTCCAAATGTTATCAAAATATACTCAAGTCAAAAAAGATTTCCCTGCATATGTTATCAAATATACCCAAGTCAAGATTTTTTAAAAAGAGAAAAATTCTATATTATTTAATAAATTATAATGCATGAAAAATTGGGTAAAAAAAAAATAATCTACTCATTACAAATTATTATTAATTAACAAAGAATACTAAATTGTTCTATTTTAGAATTTTTTTTATTTTTCAAACCAAGTAAATTATGTCAGAAATATACATGTATCCAGGAAACTTTTTTTCCTTGGTATCATCTGTCTTTAAAGCAATTAAATCACTGACCCCATACCCCATTTTGGAATGGCTTTGACTTGCTCCCTATATACCCCTCCCTCCCCAAACCTCCCAAGTAAACAGGAATCTGATGTGTTAACTTTTACAACATTGACACATAGCGTAAAGGGATGCATGACTTGTCTGAATGGATGTTACTTGTTGTCGACCCACAATGCAGAGCTCCCACCAAAGGTAACTAATTGCGGTTCATGTTTTAAATGTCATAGCTCCAGGTAAAATACCCCATTAAATTGAAATAAATCTCAAAATTATTACTTTTTTATTGTTGTCTCTTTATGATTATTTATTAGAAGTTATTACAAACAAACCAAGCACACGAAAAATTGAAATAATAAAATCTGGGCTCTGTACTCTAGCTGCTTTAAATACAAAAATAAATTTGATTTTCCCACATGTTGGTTTAACTTTTTTTCCAATGACATATCATGAAATGATTATTTTGTTTTAATGTTGTGTTTTGATGGAGAAAGAAATAGGATCAGTCCTTGGTTCGATCACTATTTGAAGAGCTAGTGTGTAGGAGGAAAATTTATCCCAGAGGATGGTCCTATGAGGATTTAAAATTCAAACATTGGATTCAGTTAAAATTACTTTTTGTCCATAAGATACCTCTCTGAACTGTTTATCCTCTGGAAGTAATGGTAAGAAAAACATTTTATCTTATACTTTATTTTTGTTAGAAAGTTAATTTTGTTAATCAAAAACTAATTCATAAAAAGTTTTCAAAACATATCATCCAAAAATAATTAATTCAAATGTAGACTGGTTAAAGTATTAAACATTCAATGTTATATTTGGTTATAAAAACATTTTGTTTTAAAGTGTACTAGAGAAAATGTTATTATAACTTAATTACTAGATTGTAAAAGTTCATGACAAGTTATTTCTTTATTTTAATTTCAAATTAATACTTTTATTTATTTATCTAATATTTATTTTTACATATTATAATTTCAAACTTCAATAAAAATTTGATCAACATGAGCATTATAAGAATTAAAAATTAAAAAAAACCCGAAACTTTAAAGCAACAATAATAAACTGCACCAATTATAAAATTAGTTCAAGGTGTATGTTATTGTAAAAAATGGAATGTGTCCTATCATCTGCCCGAGAACTTCTTTCCTAATGTAGGCCATAAACAACAAGAGACACAATATATATATTAGACTTACTCTTTCTAAGTACCTTGAAGTGTTAAAAGACATGCATAATGATATCCTTCAGCAAGTTTGATAAACAATAAGGAATGGCCTTAAATAGATATTTGGCAGTGTGAGAAGGCAGGGAGCATTAAGTCTGACGCTCCTACAGCAGACATTCATCTTTTTTTTTCATTTTTTATATTAATCTACATTTTGGGTGGCATTTTTTGTGAACCACAAACTTGGGTCGTTTTCTCGGCAGTACTCACGAATGTATACAAATAATGAGGAATAAATAATTATAGGATGTGTATGTCTTTTAGTAGATCCGTGTACTGTGAAAAAAAAAACCTAGTGCTAATTTTATAATTTCCAGGTAAAATGAATTCATGACATTAGGTAAATACAGATTTAATATAAATTAGAGTGAGGAGCTAGTATGACATCAGCTGACAAAGATGGAGGGCTAAATCTGCAGTACGGCACTTATCAACAGGTGGGCACCTCCGATGACTGCCATCCCCTCGGGAACCTCTCCACAGCCGCCACCCCGGGGTGGGAGGGTGAGGAATGTGACAGACAGATACTGAGCTCTGAGTACTCCGAGTACCGAGATGAAGCGGGGTCTAGCAATCCCAGGCCGTTCTCCCTGTGTGAGATATCTCGAGATAAGAAGGTCCTGCTCCTGATGATGGCTGTCTGTAACTTCTGTGCTGCTGCCAACTTCTCTATACTGGGACCATTCTTTCCAGAGGAGGTAACTAAATATTTCATTTAAAAAATGCTTAAAGCATGAGAGGTTTAAAAAATAATGTTGATCATAGAAAATATTGATCATTTAACAACAAATCAAACAGAGGGTGGATCACTGCATGCTAATGAATTAAAACACAATAAGCATTTACATAATCAAATTTATTTCTTTTATTGATTGAGTTTATAATTATATAATTATATTTTTCTAGATTCATTACTACTTTACATAGTTACAAACTTTAATTCTTTAAGTTCTTTTATATGAATCTTTACTCATTAAGAATTTTTAATCTATAAGTCAATTCATCAATCAATCAAATTGAATTGTGACCTCCTATAGCAGTAATTAATTACATGTATAGTTAATAAATTAGTTTTTACTCTGACAGGCCAACAAGAAGGGGACCAGTCAGACTGTAGTCGGGCTGATATTTGGCATCTTTGAACTGATATCCTTCCTTGTATCACCTATTTTTGGAAATTATGTGAGTCCTTATTCTTTTTCACTTTATCTCAATTCCTATACAATACATGTACCACTAAATGCAATGGCTGTATTCATATATTACCGGTATACATATTTGTATTAGCTAGAGATGACATAAGGATTTATTTATCCATTTTCACACTGTGCTCTATTTAATCAAAAGCATTTTTAAGTAAATTTATTTTAAAACATTCCATTCCCCATGAGTCTCCTGTATGGGTACTTGTGTAGGTGCTTCAAAATGTACCACAGACAAAACAACTCTCCTTATCTGAAAGATCTTATGTCACATTTCCCCTTTTTGTTTTCGAGTTGTTGGTAAGTGAGCAAATTTGAAAATGCTTATCAAGTGAATGGGACTGAATTGTTGCGCTTTACTGATAAGTAATGTAAATAAAACACAATGCTTAAAGCAACAGGTTTATCAGTTCTAGTCATCTTATAGAGTTGACATTATAATATAACAATCAAATCAGTTTCGAGAACCATGAGGAAATGAAAAATAAAAAATATAAAACCTCTACAGCTTATAAAAATCATTTTGAATCAACCTTTAACCAGGACATGATGACCCTATTCATATTCAGGTTTAAATACAGTGTAACACTGGAAAGGAGAAAATGTACCACTGGAAAGGAGAAAATGTATCACTGGACTGGGAATAGAACCCTGGACCCCCACATCTCTAGTCAGGTGCCCAACTTACCGAGATTTATAGGCCAGTATCCATGGCCGAAATCTTAATTAACATTCCTCCCTCCTTAAATTGTCTTCCCCTTCAAAGACACAACTCAAGTTCTTATTTGCCCCTGGCAGGACTTTCACATGCAAGTCCAGGGGTGGTCAGTGGCACCAAATCTGTAACAGGAAAGGAGAAAATGTATATGGCTGAACTGGGAATTGAACCCAGAACCCCTGCATCATTAGTTAGATGATCTAATGTACAGAGCTACCAAACCAATATGCACAGTATATTAAACAATCTGTAATATTACTGAATTAAATCAAAATAAAAATTCCCTAAAAGTGTTTCAAGGAATTCTGCATTTATCTTAATAATTGTCAAATGGTATAAAAATTCAAGCACACCATTTTTTATATGGTTCATATACAAATGTAATTCTATTAGCCTAAGAGCAAATAACCTAGCCAAAGTGTATTTTATATCAATGGATTGTATCTTACCAGCTATTAATGAACAACTTGGGACATATGAAGTCATAAAATATGTCTCCTACATTTAAGACAATTAAAAACTCTAGACAAATAAACTCGCATATTAAAAATCTCAAACATGAGTGTCTGTTCATAAACAAAGGGAGACTACTTTACAAAGCTAGGTGATCAATGTGAAGGCAAAATTATAAAGAAATAAAGGAAACAGAGCAAAACAATGAGAGTCAGAGAAGGCACGCGCACCGAATCCTTCATTCTACACGTCACCTTCCATGTGTTGAAATGCTCCGTAGTTGCCCCCCTTGACATTGATAGGCATTCATAATTAATATGCACATACTGTGTTCTTATATACTTCGTTTGCAGATGACAAAAATTGGAACAAAGTTTCTTTTTGTTGCTGGTGTGTCTGTCAGTGGAGTCTGCACCATTTTATTTGGGTAAGAGCAACAGGTTCTATGAGCAGTATATTATACCTTAATTAGTTTATGTTAAGCATGTTACATCCCTATACATGACATTTCATATAAGGGTTCAAGTACAGACCTTTCTGGTAATTTGGGGAAATGAGCAATCATTAAGTCTAGTTTAATAGCCTCAGATTTTGTATTTAACCCCTCAATTTCTCTCTTTTTCAGTGTCCTGATCTACAGTCCGGGAGGGTACCAGTTTATCCTCCTCTCTTTTCTCTGTCGGTCTCTGGAAGCCCTCGCCTCGGCCGCCTTCATCACGGCCAGCTATGCCATTCTCACCGACGCATTCCCAAAACACATTGCCACAGTGGTTGTAAGTATTTTCACACAAATATTCCATTTATTCCATGTTATTTATCAATTTGTAAAGTGAACTTACTTAGTGGCTCATATTCTGAATATTTTGAGCCTGCCATCAATATTTCACATAGATTACTTTACTTATTGGTTATCATTGTGTTATATGCAACTTAATGTCATGATTTATAATTTTAACTCATATTTTATTTATTTTTTAAACTTTCAGGGTTACCTGGAGTTGTTCACAGGGGTAGGAATGATGGTGGGCCCAGCCATTGGTGGCGGTCTGTACTCAGTAAGGGAGCTCATAATGTACTGATAACTGTACTCTTCTAATTTAATAATAAACATAACTTAGTCGAAGTCTTTTACATTGAAAGTAGAAAATGTCTGTGAATAGCTTGGGACAATGGTACTAAACATAACTTAGTCGAAGTCTTTTACATTGAAAGTAGAAAATGTCTGTGAATAGCTTGGGACAATGGTACTAAACATAACTTAGTCGAAGTCTTTTACATTGAAAGTAGAAAATGTCTGTTAATAGCTTGGGACAATGGTACTAAACATAACTTAGTCGAAGTTATGGAGAGGGCTTATATAGGCTATGCCTGCTGCCCAATCCATTTATGTATTTTACATAATAAAATATGTTCAAATCAAATCAACTTAGTCGAAGTCTTTTACATTGAAAGTAGAAAATGTCTGTTAATAGCTTGGGACAATGGTACTGTAAAACTTCAATACTTATAAGTACATATTTGTGAAATAGACGAGATGTACCTCTGACCATTTTTCTCAGTTATCAGGGTATGGTCTTCCGTTCTACGTGTTGGGTGGATCCCTAACGGCAGCCGGAGCCATCAGCTTCTTTTTCCTGCCAACACTGGACAGTAGGTTCATCCTTTTTATAGAAGCTTATGTTGAAAACCTATGGATAGGGATTTAATAATAGCATTAAAAAGGTCAGATGTTAACAATAAAAACCATTTAAAAAAGACATTACAGAAAATTATTTGTAAATCATGTGATTAAAATAATTGCATTTAAGGTGCCCACAGGACACTCTCTGTTTCTGTCCTCCAATTACTGAAGAGTTCCTTTGTGTGGTGTGTGGCGGGTTGTATTGTCAGTGGATCATACACCATTAGTTACATGGAGGCAACACTAGCTAACCACCTACACAAAGTAAGGTACCACTTACCACCTACACAAAGTAAGATACCACTTACCACTTTCAAAAAGTAAGGAACCACTTATCACCTACACAAAGTAAGGAACCACTTATCACCTACACAAAGTAAGATACCACATATCACCTACACAAAGTAAGATACCATTCATCACCTACACAAAGTAAAGTACCACTTACCACCTACACAAAGTAAGAAATCACTAAAATGACCACAGATACCACTTCCACTTTAACAAAGAAAGGGACCACTAAATATTCACACAAAATAACTTCACTTAATCCATGCAAAGTATGATATTGTTCACCATGCACTTATACAAAGAGACCACCAAACACATGTACCACTTATATATGCAAAGAAACCATTTGCCACTTAAGCAAAGTATAAAGAAAACCAATCATAAAAGATAACAGTTACACCATTATAGAGTTACTTATCACCAACTTATGGAATTATCATGGTATCATGGTACTTTAAAATTAACTTACCACCAACACAAAAGCAAAGCATAGTGAATCATTGCATAAAGATATATCAGTAAATTACGTATGGTATATATTGTATATATAATCCTTTTAGCTGGGTATTGTGTCACTGTTCTGATGTTCGGGTTATGTTCTTTATTCTGTTACTTTTAGCTGGGTATTGGCACTGTGCCGGTGAGCCTCATGTTCCTGATTCCCCCCGCCCTGTATGGCATCACCTCCCCTATCTGGGGATGGATATCAGACTCCAAGGTAAATCTCCTTAAAACTATTTCTAAGTTAAACTTTAAAAATTATAACACCTATGTAATGAATCTGACTGCTGTTTTTTGACAGAATTATGTGGTGTCCCTAGTTGTGTCTGGTGCCCTGTTAGCCTCCATATTTTTCTTCACCCTTGGACCCTCACCAATTTTTCCATTCCTCCCTTTGTAAGTAATTAAAATTTTTATTCTACTTTTTAGGGCTGCCAAAAAAAGTTCATTATTTGGTGTAGTTTCAGTTCTATTTTACCAGATATTTGTTGGGTCCAGTATAATATTTATAGTGATCTGAATGTGTAATATATCCATCATAACTAAAATATTCAACTAAAATCCAAAACACAAGTCCTAGGAAAGATGAAATAATTATTGAAGTTTTCATTTTTAAAAATAAATAATGAACTTAAGAAAATTAAGTTTAAAATACATTTACACTGACATTAAAACCAAAGTCTAAATAAAAATTTACTGATTCATATTTTCAAATAAATTTTTAGGCCTTTTAATGGGTCAATAACTGAATTAAAAAAAAATCAATTTAGACAGTTCTTGTATGCAAGCAATGTTTTACGTAGTACTTTCAAAATTTTTTTTTTTGTAATAATGCTATATATTTTACAATCTGATTAAGTTCCATTCTTGAACATTAGGTTCATTAACCTTCACACAGTTATCCCACACTCAGAATCCTCAAATAATGAAAAAAATTAAGGCAATAGAAGGGAGGTAACTTGTGTTCATGCTTCACATTGTTCTAAATGATAGCTTGAACACCATCATCACAACCTTTCTATGGATAAAGTTATAAACTGTAAATATCAAGATATAGTATATTGTTACTCACAGTTAAATTCCTCCTGTTTATTGCAGCTCCCTATGGCTGGTCTCTGTGTCACTAGCCGGAGTCGGGATTTTCCTCAGTTGCCTTATGATTCCCAGCTTTACTGCAATCCTTGTCGGAGCAGAGTAAGTCTACAGTTAACAGAAAAGTATCAAAAACCAAGGCTTACAACAAAAAGCATGCAGTTTTAATCCCATAATAGTGTGCTCTTATCTAAGACAGCATTAATTTCAAAATAGTGATTGTGTTGTTATAGATATTAAAAATTTATCTCCACTTTTTTTTTCATAAGATGACATCAATAATTTGTTTAGATGTGATAATTAAAATCATAATTTTTGTTTTTCAGACGGCTAGGAATGGAGGATAACTTGGAAACATTTGGTATTGTGTCCGGACTCTTTAACTCCTGTTATTCCTTTGGGTATGTTATCCTAGATAATTAATGTTAGACCTTAAAGCTGACATGAACTCTTAAAAAGGCATCATTTTTCATCTTTGTACGACTTACTACATTCCTGTGCGCCTTTGTCCGCCATATTTCTTCGATTCCGCCATATTTACTTGAAAATTTTTGGCCACCTGTACCTGTTATATAAAGCCTCGTGCATTTGTTTCACCTGAGTGATTTTCTAGCCTGGCTGTCGACATGTACACATCTCCGAAAGCATAGCTGTCATAAATCCATAAACTGACCAAATACATGTTTTAAAAGTTAAACTCCAACAAAAACTAGAACTATACTGAGAAGTAAATTATTTTTGAATGCATTTGCTGCAATTTAGAAAAAATAATACAGAAAACGGCAAAAGCCGTTTGGATATGCACGCATGCAGGTCGAGAGTACGCATCGAACGCAGTGATAAAGATATTTACCTGACTACTGCTATCGCTACAGGGATGTGCACATGTCGAAAGAAATATCCTATTTTACTTTTATTGAAATATGCATCTAAGAAGTCATGTAATCCATTGCTAACTGAACAGTAAAAAATTGTCACCACATAGCACTTGGACACACGTGGTCCACGACGATCAGTGTATTTGGTCAGGGGAAATTTCAAAGGTGGAAATCTTACTGGTATTTTGGTTGACTGAAAAAGTGCATTTTTTTTCAAAAATAAATATTACTCTTGTCTGTATATGTAAATGTAAACAAAATTTACAAACATGGCTTAATTACATTAAATTTATTTTAAAGCATGCAACATTACGAATCATTCATCCTTTGACGAGATTCTCCCGTGAAAGGGGGGGATGCATAACGCTCTCTGAAAAAGATCGGATTTTATTACGATCATATATTTTCATTATAAATAATGTGTATTGGCTTTATTTATTTATTTTTTTTTTAAATAAAGACCTTATATAACTTGATTTAAACTTTTTTTTTTTTTTTTTTATAATTTTATAAACAATAAACGAGTTTGATTCTGTGGTACATGAATAATCAAAATAGAATTCATTGGCGGATCCAGAGGTGGAGTGGGGTTCCAGGGATTGGAACCCCCGGCCTTTATTTTTGTACACACATACAGAGAGAGAGAAAGAATGTTTTTTCTGTAATATATAGATATTTACACGTCTAATAATATGAATAATTTGAAGAAATAAAAAAATCTCTGTCCTTTCAGTTCTCTAGATCTGTAATTATCGCGGATTTGCTTTCCTCTGCGTGCCTTCAATCATTTTTCAATCAATTATTTGAATCTCTTCACCATTTTACAACAGTATACAAAAATCACAAAAATATATAGGTGTTTTTATACATAACAGTAGATCTATAAAGCATGCGTGAATAAGAAACTAAACAAAAAAATTGTACGTTGCTATAAAAGTGAAGTATGGGAATTTAGGCGGGGGGCATATTTTGTTATTTTTTTTTTCTTTATAAACGAGCACAATTTTCTCAGAAAACAGTGTTTATCGTTATTCATAATGTGTTTAAAATTAATCACATTCTGAAATTTATGCTTTTTTCTGTTAAGCATAGCATTCTTTCTGAAAGTAGCGAGCTGCACTTTAGTATGTAATGAAACTCATCTCCGAGTTCTTTTTAATTACAATGGGGACAAATTCTATCTTGTCTTGGTAACCCTGGCTAAGGGCATCGACCACCCACAAGTAACATGCAAGGAAGATTCCAGCTAACTTTTTTTACCATTTTTGACCATTTTTAGAAGTAACTAACTTTAAGAAGTATGCATGCAATATTTCGATTCGTTAAAGATAAAGGTTTAAAATATTCCCGTAGTATGCAGATGAAGGGGGGGGGGCTCACTTTTTCTGTGGATAATCTTTGCTGCAGTTTTAAATAAATTAAAGTTTTGATTTGGAAGCTCTCTCCACATTTTTTGTTTGCAGGAAAATACGCAGATTCAAGCATGTAAAAGTAATGTACCGAACAGAAAAGTTACAGGAAGCCTCACTTATCCCCTACAAAAAAGGATTGCATAGAGTGTGGTGCATAGATTTTTTTGTTTTGTTTTTTCTGTTTGTTTTGTTTTTTGTTTGTTTGTTTGTTTGTTTTTTGCTTGTCAACTGATTTTGGAGGTCCCCATCAATATAAATTGAAGTGGCTGTGTTGTGATTCTATGCATGAGTGCATGCACGGATCTAGAGGGGGTTAGGACCCCCCCCCCTGGGATTTGCAAGGTTATTAAATTTATATACAAAAGCTAGAAAAAAAAGTTACGTTGGAACCCCCTCGGAAAACGCAGACTCCCTGGTAAACGCGAATTTGTGTTAAATTGGTACGAAAAGTCTAAGGTTTGAAGCATTAAAAGTCATCGGCTACACGCCCCCCCCCCCCCCCCCCCCCCCTGAAATAGTTTTTGAAGTTTGGGCGAGTTTACGGGGTTTTTTGCATGTCAAGAAATATCTGGGTTGGATATATATTATCAATAGTCGAAGCATATAGGAAGGGAAAGCAAACTGCCGATGAGAGTTCCACATTCTACCAAAAATTAGCTTTTTTATACCTCTTGTCTACATAATTTTTGTCCAGATTCCTTACCTGAGAAGGTACATGTATTTGAGAAAGTTCCCAATGTTCCCATTTCAATGATGTATAGACTTCACGTTTACATGAATTTTCCTTTCAATTTCGGCGTTTAGGTTTATTTTTTTGTCAAAAGTAAAATTATTATTTCAAATTTTGATCAAGTTTCGACATCCCCTCCTGAAAAAAAATCTTTGATCTGTCCCAAGATCTAATAAATGGTACAGCACAAAATACATATGATTTTATATCTATTATTGCGCTTACAGATGGTTACAGGAGGAGAGAGAGCGAGAGAGTTCAATGAATAAAAGAGTAATTAAAAATTATCTGTATTCAACCAGGTTTCAAGTATCCCTACCCAAGTTTTTAAAAGTATCTCCCAAATATTGCGACAGAAATTATTTCTATTTTCAAAAAAAAAAAAATAGACTGTCAGACAGGGATACTGAAATCTCGAAAGACTTCCTGTAATAATTATAAAACAGCCACATTCCGCAAAAATGTACATACTTTGTGGTCGGAGTGAGACAATAATAAAAATCTTCAAAAATGGATTTTGCAGAAATGTCTGTCTTCCAAGAATATTTAGGTAACGGCCATGTAATTATTTCTGCCCCCCCCCCTAAAAATACGAATGCCTCAATATCAGTCTAAACGGGGGATGTTTTTTCCGCGGTGTGTTAAAGAACGTACAGATGTACACATAAACTTTTGTATTCTGGTGAAATGTTTTTAAGTCTTGAACTAAATATTTACCGTATATCAAATTATTTGGTTTAGATTTGAGATTAGTACTAAAATAATCAGTTGTAATTGACAAATGAATTTTGCGATGCAAAACAACTGCAGACTATATAAAGATTGCTTATTAGAACTAGATAGACAATTTTCAGTTATACCTTATAAAGCCGTTATAATTATACTTTAGACCCCCCCCCCCATTTCAGCCGCGCAAATACCACTCTTTTCCACTTGTGATATTTTCCCTGACCAAAATCTGATCAGCACGGACTAAGTGTATCGACGCGCTAGACTGTACGGAGTAGATACAGTGTGTTTATTGAGTTTTTATGGAGTTTATTTCTTTTTTTGTGATGCATATTTCAATAAATGGAATTCAAGGTGTATATCACTTGACTTGTGCACATCTTCGAACCGATGCAGTGATCTTATTACCAGGTATGGGTACGTTTACAGCGTTCGACGCGTTTTCTCGACATGCATCAAAGTCTGCATAAAACATGCAAATCAAAGACGCTGATTGTTTTGTTCCATTCAAATGATAATAATTTCACAGTGTGTTTACGGGTTTTAGTGCTTTTTATTTCATGTTTATTCTGCATAAATTGGCGCAGTGTAAAAATGCGTACTCGTGCAACTAAATCTTTCTTTCAAACTTGCATTTTCTTTCTTTTTCATAACATTGGATTCAAATCTATAATTATTCAGAAATATGATTATTATGTTGTGTGGTTTGAAATGTCTTGATCAACCCATGTGTTTTCAAATGTTTTACCATCGGAGATGTGCACAAGTCGATAGCCAAGCCAAAAAATCATTCAAATGTAACGAGGGTATTGGGGTATATATCGTTGCAATAAGACAAGGTATCTGAAAGAAATATGGCGGAATACGGCTATAGTTGGTATGAAACAAGTCGTACATAGATGAAAAAGTTGCGTTTTTAAGAATTCATGTCAGCTTTAAGTATACCCGCGTCTTCTGAATATGAATTACTGTAACAGTAAATATATAAGATGCTGAAACCTATGTTGTTCTATACAGTGTATGTCCTATGACTTTCTCCTTTTGTAATACAGTGCGTTTATTGGTCCTATCTCGGGCAGTGCCTTGGTTGATGCGGCAGGCTTTGGGTGGGGATCTACAGTTTGTGCTGGTCTGCTCATTCTGTCGGTATGGTCATCGCAACTATTGTAGGCTCCATATTTTAGCAGCTTTGGCGTGGACATCAATGCGCTAATGCATGAATACATCTAAAATAATTATTTATAAATGCAAAACACGATAAGAACAGTCATAAGCACTAATTCATGATTACTAGTATGCCAGCGGCTCTATACCCAGTGATTGCGCTTTTTGAATATGCCATATTAATTACATGTACAGTATTGTAAATTTTTTTTTACATCATTTAATACCAAATTTAATCCATCTTATGATAATGCTGCTGCTATCCCTGATTAATTCCCATATGATTTACATAGTCTTGGAATTTAAGCCTCTTCAATGTTGTAGGGTCTAGTTCTTTTGGTATTTGTGACAGTCAACAGAAACAAATTTGGAAAAGTAAAAACGCTACTTCCAACACAAAGAAAATTTTCTTTCAGGTAAGGGTCACATTTGGAGCATTTTCAAATACTAGTAAATGCAAAAAAATTTCAAATAATTTTTGCAGGAAATTTTCTCACTATTTAGGTAAAATACTTGTACTGTAATTAAATCTATTCTCATTCTTTTGATTCAATCTATATGCATATTTCAAATTTACATGCGAGTTTGTGTTTTAGTAGGGGGGGGGGCTACCTGAAGATATATTAACACATTTCAATAAGTAAATTTGTCACATTGAGACCAGTGTTTGGATACAAAAAAATAGGTTTGTAACAGATCATCATATACATCATTTGAAAATACACATTATAACACACTTATAATGAAATGTCAGGGGCTGACAAAATAGCTTTGTTATCTATAAGCATAATTCATTATTTCCCAAATTTACAATAGGTATTTTTAAAGTCATGTGGAATAAAAATGACTTCACTGTGTTTATTCATTATAAGGGTGTACGATATAAATATGTTTTACTCTACATGCTTGTACTAAAATGCCATTCCTCTCTCTAGACGTGGCAGGGGTTCAGCAGACACCGAGATGTCCAGTGGCTTTGTCGACAAAGAGGAGACTGAAATGTGCTCACTTTGACTCATACTTTACTCACTCAGGATACAGCTTCACAAAATATTGTACATAGCTTCAATTTGTTGTATATAGAACACCATGTAATTAAATACCAAAATGAACAGTTTCTTTTATTCTTGAAATTTTTGCAGGAAATTTTCTCACTATTTAGGTAAAATACTTGTACTGTAATTAAATCTATTCTCATTCTTTTGATTCAATCTATATGCATATTTCAAATTTACATGCGAGTTTGTGTTTTAGTAGGGGGGGGGCTACCTGAAGATATATTAACACATTTCAATAAGTAAATTTGTCACATTGAGACCAGTGTTTGGATACAAAAAAATAGGTTTGTAACAGATCATCATATACATCATTTGAAAATACACATTATAACACACTTATAATGAAATGTCAGGGGCTGACAAAATAGCTTTGTTATCTATAAGCATAATTCATTATTTCCCAAATTTACAATAGGTATTTTTAAAGTCATGTGGAATAAAAATGACTTCACTGTGTTTATTCATTATAAGGGTGTACGATATAAATATGTTTTACTCTACATGCTTGTACTAAAATGCCATTCCTCTCTCTAGACGTGGCAGGGGTTCAGCAGACACCGAGATGTCCAGTGGCTTTGTCGACAAAGAGGAGACTGAAATGTGCTCACTTTGACTCATACTTTACTCACTCAGGATACAGCTTCACAAAATATTGTACATAGCTTCAATTTGTTGTATATAGAACACCATGTAATTAAATACCAAAATGAACAGTTTCTTTTATTCTTGAAAACAATCAGAAACAGAACAATCAAACAAAAGCTGACAAACTTCAATAAATTGTAACAGGTTTTGACTAATTTAGTTTAGAGAGATTATTTTACTCAGATTGAAATTGACACATCAATTTTCCCATTCAATACTAGAATAAACTTGTTTTGGATTATTTTCACTTTACAATGTATACATTTACAGGTATATAATTCATTACAAGTTTCAATCAAAACACAGTGGATCTTCAGCACTAATTTCAACATCAATTCATTTTCTTCAATTTGATTTATCACAAGTAAATTTAAAATATACTGTATCAATACCATCATTGCAAGATAACAGTTTTTGGTCCATTCTAAGTCCTACAATATGGGTTTGTGGTAATAGAA